CATCGAGAATAAAAACAGAAGAGCTCAAAGAAACAGGCCGTTCGCACCATTCCAGTGATTCCCATATAAGGCAATTACCATTTTCGCAGCACTTCAGAGTAAAAAGATTGTCATGGCAGTGGAGTTATGAAGCGCTGACCAGGTCAAACGCATTCAGAGGGCAGGTGCGCTGGTCAGTAACGACCTGGACACACGCTTGCCCCAACTTGTGATGTGATGCACGAAATGGTGACACAGACAAACATGCAGCTACGAAAACACAAAGGAATCCAGCATGTTGACCGCAACCTCACCGTCATTAAAAACTCAACCAGATGATATAAGGACATACCACGAACATACCTAACCTTAGAGGTTAAATATCTGAGCTAGTTTGGGGGTTTGCACCCTATTGTTATTCTGCTACATGACGACTAATCCCTATTTAGGACTAAAGTGTACAGTATTTAAACAGTAAATGCACTGCAAAACGTTAACTCAGGCAGCAACTAACATGCTGTCAATAAATCCATCCAGCTAACATACTGTATATACAGACCAGATGACCGCTATACAATTATTCTAACTACCTGTTATTTGCGCCACATATTAGTTCAGGAATGACGCTAAAATTACTAGAAATTACAAGGAGCACACCAAAATGACAAACGCTACAAAATATAGTCTTTTTAAAGCCACTGATTGATTGTTTGTAAATGCATAAAGACATGGTGTTGTTTTCTGGGCTCATCTATGAAGGACCTAAAGTGCTGGTAGCTGGAAGATGAGCATTTTTAAGTACTGTATGGCTTGAGAGAGTTTTCTACACAGTCGATTGGCTTTACTTATTTAGGAACGAGGCTACGTAAACAACAGTCCAGTTTATTGCATATATGGATGAGCATCACTATGAAAACATTTTATTTTTTATTATTTATATTGAACGTTAGTGAATAGTGACAGAATTGTATTTATTTTATTTGCCTTTTCTTTGTTTTTTAACAATATCAGATAGTTTAATATCTAAATACTTAAGGTAAGTATAATATGAGAGATTTTTTTCTGGTTAGAGAAGGTTTAAAAATTATGTGGAATTTATAAAACATGAAATTTAAATACTATTACCAATTAACATTTGAGTTTATTAATTAAAATTATTTGAAAATGTTGCGAAAATACAACAAAAGTGTTTAAGTTCAAAACAGCCCAAATGTACTCACTTGTATAAAATTCCAAGAGTTTGGATTATTCCAAGTGTTTGTAAAATGTTTCAAATTCACAAAATTTAAGACAATTTAAAGAATTCAACTGTAAAAATCCGTATAAAATTCCCTTTTTTGAAAAGTTCCAAACGTACAAATTTGTTCCAACTTCCATCCAAAACATTACAAATGTTCAGATTAGTTTAATATTTACTTGTTTGGAAGGTAATATTATGGTGTCCAAGAGAGCCTAACATGCTGCAATTTAAGAAAACAGGCAATTACATAAAAACACACCAGCAAATTAAGAAGAGATCTTCATCTGTTTGACAGCACACAGTAGGGGTGTTACAGATTACGATTGATTTGTACGAATCACAACCAACAGTTCGGAAAACACAAGACCCGCAGATGAATAACTTTTTTATTTGTAGATTATGTCTAAATTTGTAATGATGGCAGAGAAATCGACTCTTGTGTCATTCAAATCACATGTATGAAAGCCTTTAGGCTTTCCTGTAAAATATAATGATGATGGAAGAAGTTGTGGTAGATTATTCGGGATGTGGTGGGTTTCTTAGGGTATTAAAGGTGTTTTCTGTCACTACTTGTTTAGCCTGTATTAATGCATTCAGTAAAAGCTGCACGTTTAATCATTTAAAGATCAGGATCTCAACACCCACGCAACATAAATTATAAATGATTGTGATTTGCATACGTTTATTAATCCTTTGAATCTCTGCATTCAAATATGTGTTTGAAAAACACAAAAAACATGAAAGATTCAGTCTTTAGTCTTTTGAGTCATGAAGTTACAACCAGTCAAATAACACAGAAGTACTGGGATAACAGTTTATAGTTTAGATCAGGGGGTCTAAACTCAGTCCTGGAGGGCCGGTGTCCTGCATATTTTAGTTCCAATCCCAATTAAACACACCTGAACCAACTAATCAAGCTCTTTCTCGGTATACTAGAAACTTCCAGGGAGGTGTGTTGAAGGGAGTTGGAGCTAAACTATGCAGGACACCGGCCCTCCAGGACCGAGTTTGGACACCTCAGTTTTAGATAAAAACCACTGATGTTTATGGTAAAGATTAAAATCACCCTTATATGCTCAAAAATTAAAGTTGTAGGCAGCAATTACATTATTTAACCAATGGGTGGCCATCAAAAATATGCCACTGAATAATTTTTCAAAAATGATCCATCTACAGTAGCAGTGTCTTCATTTTATTCTTAATAAAATTACAGCTTCTAAGTTCTCTTTTGTAATGAATGCAAAGAAAATCTGTTATACCACATAGCAAATCTTAACAGCGCATACGCATTAATAAAACGCTGCGTTTTCTCACAACGCAAACAATTTACGATTTTCTCACAAAACTTTCAAAAAGCACAGAACACAAAGGAAATGTTTCAGGGGTATCCAAAAACAAGACGGATGCCGCTGTGGCGTGACTATGGCTGCGTCCGAAACCGCCTACTACTCAGTAGGTACTGCATTTGAATTTAAACGTACTACTCGGCCGTTAGAAAAGTACGTTCAATACAGTATGAATGTGAAAAGTATGAATGGAATTCGGACGTACTACATCTGCTATTTTGTCATGGTCACATGACCTACCTGCGTCAGTTGCGTCGCTTCACCTCAATTCATGAATTCTCTCGCGGGGCATTATGGGATAACGCAGCATGCATAGGATGCGCACTCCAGAATCTCGCCGGAAGTAGTAAGTCATCCGGGTACTTCTCGCATACTGATTTTCGAATTATATGAATTCGGACACACTACTCGGCTCGCATACTGATTTTAGCGTACTATATTGTATGGAAGTGTTTCAGACGCAGCCTATTGCTCAGTGAAGTTGTAGGTAATCTTTGAAAGGTGACTTTTTTCATTTGTTTATTTTAACATCCTGATTCCCTTGGGTTTTGTATTTTATAGCCTAAATAACCAGCTAAATAGCCGGGTCCGTCATGTTTTAGTGTCTCCTTCAAACCAATTTTCATTGTGTTCTGTGCTATTTGAAAGTGTTGTGAGAAAATGCAGCATTTTCGAAAATTGTTTGCGTTGTGAGAAAATACTGCACGTTTTATTAATTTGTTTGCGTTATGAGGATTTGCAGCTTGTGTGCTGTCAAATGGAAGAAGATCTTTTCTTAATTTGTTGCCGTTTTCTGAAATTGTCTGCGTTTTCTTAAATTGCAGCACGTTAAGCTCTCTCGTATGGAAGGTAATTCCTGCCAATTTTAAATAAATCAATTAAACATTGAAAATTAAAATGAAAACTAGATTAACAATTTCATTATATGTATATCTGCTCAAATTATTTCATTTTCATTTTCACTGTGACAACACATCGTCCCTGTCAAATCGATAAATAAAATAAAGTTGCAACTTGCAGTTTTAATGTTTCATTTTTACTGCATTTCTGCGTCAAGACTGCCAATATTAATATGAAAAGCCAAAAAAATTCAATAAAAACATAGTTTTCACGTGACGTCGAGTTAATTCGCGTGACATTGAGTGTTTTCACTGGTTCTGTCAATGTAATTCGTAGATGATCCCTCAAATTGTGTACGCAGATGTCCGGCAAACATCAAACCTAAAACCAACTTTGCCAAGCCAATTTAGCTGTCTTTCAAAAAATTCATTACTAACAAGTTGTTAATGTTACAAGACCTAATACGGTATATTATAGGAATTCATCACATCCCATCTCTGAAAACACTCGACGTCACTCAAATACACCTCTCCCACTGATTAGCATAGGCTTCGCATACAGGTTGAAGTTGAAATCGAAAATGAAAACGGAAATAAAAGTGTCACTAAAAGAAAAACTTAAATTCCCAGTTTTATTTGAATTGTGTCACTATTATAGCGTGAACATTAATAAAAAGCTTTTGTAAAAATTGTGTTTGCGTTTTATTTTTTAGTTTGGCGTTTCATTTTAATATTGTTCTTGATGCAGAAACAAAATGAAAATGAAATGTTAAATCAGCAGCTTCATTTTATTTATTGATATGACAGGGAAGATGTGTTGTCACAGTAAAAATTAAATAAAAAAAATTAAATTTCATTTTATTTTCAATTTTGGCAGATATTTTGCAAACAATATTTTATAATGAAATTGTAAATTTTTTATTTTAATTACATTTTTTAATTTAATTTATTTATTTCTCGGCCACCGTACAATACAATTAAATATTTTCCAAACGTACAAATTTGTTCAAAATTCCATTCAAAGCAATACAAATATTTGGATTATTTTAATATTTTCTTTTCAGGAATGAAATATGGGACTAAAATTTTAAATGTTCCAAATGTACAAATTGGTTTAAAATTTCATTCATTTGAAATGAACACAATTGTTTAAAATTCACCTTTTTGACAAACAATAAATTAATTAATACCAATCATCCCTTGTTTTGAGGGGAATTTATATGACTGTCCTCACAATTAATTGACTATTATAAATTATAACCAGGCCATTCTGTAATAATCCTGACAGTCTTGCCATAATCCTCTAATGGGACAGTAAACTACATTAAAAGTTTAAATGCATTTATTTTTGTTGTATTTGTATTTCAGAGAGATCACTCAAAACAACTAACCTACAAACTTTCCAAAAACACACTACAGTTTTCCTGCAGAAATCAGTTATGCTGCCCTCTTCTGACGGAAGACACTCACTTAAGAAAAAATCTCATTTAAAGAAAAAGTTCACTCAAAAAAGAAAATTTACTCACTATTTTCTCGACCTCAAGTGGTTTCAAACCTTTATGACTTTCTTCATTATGTTGGACACAAAAGAAAATATTTTAAAGAAAGCTGAAAACTATCCCTTTAATTCTTTTCCATCCATCTCAGCAGGAAGTGAATGGTTTTCTCAAGATTAAGCCTGATTTAGCTGATGGTAGAAATACAGATGGAATGGAATGGAAGAGTCAGATGATCATGTGGCGAAGTTTGCAGTTTAACTCCTTCTCCTTTTCAAGCAGTTCACAGCTGTGCTTTTTCAATGCCTCAAACTCCTACAAGTGTGATATACGCAAAAGCAATGAGATGACATAGAGAGCAAATAGTCTGAAACTCTGATATAATCTGATATAGTTTTTTTTCTTCTTCTTTTTTTTTTAACAGACCTTTTTCAACTCATTGCAGGAGAATTCTGCTCTCTCTAAAGCCTCTCGAAGTTCCTTCACTCTTAACTCACTGTTCACGGCTGCTGCTTCCTTCTCAAACCTGGTAAATAAACAACAAAAACAGGAATTAAGCAAATAATGCAGTATTTTTTATGGAGAATTTCATTTTATTTGCAAATGAAAGTTTGTTAAGTACCTAGCAGACACACAACATCATAAGACATTAGTGTTAGGTAAGATTTTGGTTGCCACTTTCCAAGGATAATGTTATTTTGATGTCCAATAAAGACGTGAAATGATATTTGGTTGATTTTAGGTTGTGTTGGAAAGTGACCAAAATCTGACATCGAGCCAACATCTTAAACCAACGTCATATTGACATCAAATACTGATATTTATTCGTCAGGTATGGCAACCACCAAAGTCTGGTAGATGTTATAGTGGTCAAGATAACGTCAAGCTGTAACATCATTAAATGTTGATTTTAGGTTGATTTTAGGAAAGTGACCAAAATCCAACATCTTAAACCAACATCATATTGACATCAAATACTGAGATTTATTCATCAGGTATGGCAACCAAAATCCAGTGTCTGGTAGACGTTATAGTGGTCAAGACAACGTCAAGCTGTAACATCATTAGACGTTGATATTTCGTTGATTTTAGGTTGCTTTGGAAAATAACCAAAATACAACATCTATCCGACATTGACGTTGGGTTCTGACGTCAACCTGATTTTTTTATTTCCAAACAAACTGCAACATCCCACAACCCTGAGGCACAACATCAGTCTGATGTCATGTTGAGGTCCTTTGCCTGCTGGGTACTTTGGTTTAAGGAATGGAGTAGTTTACTTACAGTGTACAATTTACACTGTTCTGGCCATGTATTATTTTCTTGATAAATATGATAATATTCCTGTTATTTTAATATTATTCAGCCTAATGTTGAACTTAAGGTTTCATAAAAGGAAATGATAAAATATTACAAGGCTGCATCAATTTGGGGGTGTATAAATGAAGTGTAATTTATTGTTAAACGATCACTTCAATAGAAAGTATATGTTATTTATAGTAAAAGTAAAGTTTTTTTGAGCAGACTTGACTTTGTACACTGCAAAAAATTGCTTTTCTTAATTAGATTTCTTATCTTGTTTCTTGTCCAAATATCTAAAGCTTCAAACAAACGAAAAATATTGTCTTGTTTGAAGAAATAATAAGTGAAAATTATGTGATTTTTTCCCTCAAAACAAGCAAAATAATCTGCTAATGGGGTAAGCAAAATAATCTTATGTCAAATGTAAAAAATAGATTATTTTTCTCACGCCGCTTGCAGATTATTTTGCTCGTTTCAAGGAAAAACTCACTTAAGGGTGGAGTAGGTGATTGTCTTCAGAAGCATTTTTTGTTGTGCTGGTTGAAAGTCTCTTCACAGTCTAATAGTAATGATTACAGTAAATGATCTAAATGTATTTATATGTATTTTTATATTTTGGGTAAGGCATAAAACTAAAAAATGTTCATCTAATTAAATAGAGTCGGGCCGACATCTCTCATAATTCCGATAAGTAGGCCTAAAGTGTCTGTTAGCAAATGCAGATTTGAACAACTGCGTAGCCTTTTGTACGCAGCTCCGCTGACCAAAGCGTGGTCACGAGAGAGCATGCGCACGATCTGAATCAAAACCTGCTGAATCAAAACTTTTTAAAAAACTGAATCAATATTGGAGTTACCTTTGCATGCTGGAGAAAAGATGACACAATGGGTTTCTCTTAGACAGGTAATGTTCTGTTTTAAAACTGTTTTAGCTTCACGCAAAGCTGATGTAAGGTTAGATGTTGTTGTTACAAATGGATTATATCTTCACAGAAGTGTTGTTCAGCTACTAAAATCTTCCGATGAAAGAGTGATAAGACTATTTTCAGTTTCATAAGAGACCTTTTACAGCATCGATAAAGTAGATTTTAATTGGTTTAACAACAAAACACAAGTAAATAGCGCTATTCCGCCTAGTCTCTCCCTATACTGTTTACCATGCAACTCTAAATATTCACTCTGAAATCGCATGTCAGTTTGGCTGCCGGACAATCACTAGTCGCTTTTAACACATGAGAGAGGGTTCTTTTGCGGTGTTCGTGTTTAAGGAGGCGTGGCTCTAGAGGACAGGGGAGGGACTGTGATTCAGAGATTTATGCTAAGCTGTTAGCATTATGGAAGATAATGCACCTTTAATTTTGGCATATTACTTCTTAAAACAGGACAATATTTTTTGCTTGTCTAGTAAATTGCTTGATTTAATAATTTTTAGAAATTTGGACTAGAAAAAAGACTAGAAATCTAAGTAAGAAAAGCTTTTTTTGCAGTGTACACAGGGAATTTGTTGGATGATTTGGTCTTATTTGTGGAACTTGTTGTGTGATTGACAGGTTGATCCCACCCACATACAGCCACACAATCACATATATAGTAAAACCAATCAGAAAAGAGATTTTGTTATTTAATATAATTATATCTTTTTTAAAAATGCATTATTAAAGCATTTTAATCTATCTATTTTGATTTCACTGTCTTTAAAAACATGTTATTATATTTATACCTGTCCTCTGCATGTCGTCTGCCGTTCTCAGCTTCCTGCCTTTTCCTTTCCAGCTCCTGAATTTCAACTTGCTTGTCCTGCAACACAATGCAGTGAAAATATACAGTCATGTCAATAATTATGTGTCTAGGGCTGCACAATATTGGAAAATCTGACATCACAATGGTTTGTTTTTTCAATGATGCATAGTACAATGTGAATACAATTTTACCAGATGACCTAAATAGCTTTGTTTGATAAGAATTCAGGTAGCTCAGTGGTTAGCACTGTCGCCTCACAGCAAGAAGGTCACTTGTTAGAGTCCCGACTTGGCCAGTTGGCATTTCTGTGTGGAGTTTGCATGTTCTGCCCGTGTTGGTGTGGGTTACCTCTGGGTGCTCTGGTTTCTCGCACAGTCCAAAGACATGCGCTATAGGTGAATTGGATGAACTAAATTGGCCGTAATGTCTGAGTGTGAATGTGAGAGTGAACGGGTGTTATTCTGTACTGGGTTGTGGCTGGAAAGGCATCGGCTGTGTAAAACATGTGCTGGAATAGTTGGTGGTTCAATCCACTGTGGTGTCCCTGATAAATAACGGACTAAGCTGAAGGAAAATGAATGAATGAATGTATATAAGCGATGCATTATCTTCATTGCATAAATAATTAAAACATTTTTGCTTAAAGTTTCAAATAGTACAATCCATTGTGCCTGAGTACTTTAAACTCTCTTGATAAGCTCATATAGTCACAGGTTTTAAAAACATTTGCAAATGATAAACTTTTGCTACATTATAGTAAAAATCTCCAATGACTCCATGCTCTGAACTGCGGCTCCTGGTCAATTATAATCCCTATTCAACATTGCAGAACATCCTGCAATGTCCATGCTGCAATCCTGCTATTGCGGATGCACATATCAGTGCTATACCAATATATTGTGCAGCCCTAGTATAATCAATTATTTGCTTACCCTTATGATTTTTCCACGCTGCACAGAGAGATCAATTAGCTCGTCCTTTTCCTTGATGAGTTTCTCCAGTCTTTCTTGAGTGTCTGTCTCTCTCATTGATTCCTTTACTTGAGTTTGTCTTAGTTTAAGATCAAGCTCTGTTGGAAAAATGTGCGAGGTTGTTAACAGCGAGCCACAAGTGAACGTACACACATTTGAAGAGATAGTTCACCCAAAAATGTAAATTTGCTTACTATTTACTCTCTCTATCTCTCAAGTGGTTTCAAATCTTTGAGTTTCTTTCTAATGTTAAACACTATAGGATGTTTTATGAACAAATTTTGGGAGAAGCAAGATCAGTTTTGATGAAGCTAATTCATTATTGACAGTCATTCTATTATTCAATCAGCCTAAGACCAAACCCCTATAAATGGTCAAACATGTCATTTTAGCATCCCTCCACCACCCTAACTCCACACTATTAATCCCAAAACCTACTTAAATCTGATGGGGGAGTGTTCTGGAGCTGGGCTGGACACTGTGCTTGGACCCCTATATCTCTCTCTATCCTGATTAGGGGAATAACACGAGTTAGGGTGTCTTTCCGAGCCCAGAGCCCTCTCCCCAGACAGCACGCAAAATACACATTCTTTTCAATCAAATATCTGTGAGTGTGAACTTGTGAAAGAAGCTGAAACCTGTAACATTGACTTCCATAATAGAAAAAAAACTTCTTTTGTGTTCAACAAAAGAAGGAAACTCATAAAGGTCTGAAACAAGTAAAGGATGAGTAAATTATTATTTTTTTGGATAAACTATGCCTTTAAGAGATTTTTTATGCTCATCATTTGTCAATATTTTGCTATACATTAAAAACACTATTTTGTCACTAAAATACTTCTAAGTGCGTGGGCTAACTTAAAATATTTGTCAAATTTAAAATTGTCCCATCTACTGTAGGAGCTAAAGCAATTTATCTAAAGTTAACTTAAAAAAAATTAAATAGAAACTATTTTAAGTTGATTTAATACAAATCTAATATAATAGAAAAATGCAAGTGAATTAATGGAACTCTAACTAAAACTAAAATGGAAAATACAAAAAATCAAGACACTGAAAATATGAATAAAACACAATTTATACTACAATAACTGAAAGCAACACAGTTTCAAAACACAAGTTTCTCTAAAATCAAACATCAAAATGTAAAATTTGCTTTATTAGAAAAAAAATATCCAAACCGCTGTAAAGTACCTGCACACATCTCTACAGCAGTCTTCAGCTGTTTTTGTGTGTCGCTTAGTTCGTTCTTTAAAGACGCTTCTTTGATCCGATGGAGGTTCATAAGTTCTTTCAGCTTAATCTGGAAACCTGTTGTTTTCTCCCTGTTGGGATCATAAAGATTACTGACAAATGTATAGAGTAAAAAGAGAATTGTGCAATATTTCAGCAGCCTTAGTTCTGGAAGTATTTTACCCATTTATTTTCCTCAAATGCATTTAGCTATATCACAGTCAGATTGTTTTCATGAATTCTTAGGGTCTGTTTAAAGGCCAGTGGTAAATCAAAAGCTGCTTTTCCACTATCGTGCCAAACCGTTCTAAGAACACTTCGGTACGGTTACGGTTGTTTCTCCACTGAGCCTGGAACGGCGCGGCACGATTACAAACCGTTCTTGGCCCGGAATTTTCGGCACGGTTAGACAACCGTGCTGAACTGTGCTGACAGATTCTGTGTGTTGACGTCGCGACTCGGTTGCTAAGCTACCACAGCTGGCTCAGCAGAAGCGCGCTAGTCATCAGACATCCTCAATAAACTACAGTACATTTAATATAAAATAATGATCCAGGTCTAAACGATATTTGAAAAGGATTTTAAAACCATAGAGCAGTCTCTGGAAGAGAAGTGAATAACTCATCACATTCTTACGAAGATATTTTATTCATTAAAGTTATTATTTTACTGACTTGAATACAAACCTACTTCGCCTGCTGAATGTGAGTTTATTGCACGCAGCGCTGTATTCCACAGCACAAAACTCGCTCTGATCCGGGAGAGACATGCAAGCGACTTGCGCTGCTGACTTTTTTTTCCTGCTGCGCATCGAATAAAGCGAATAAAGTCACGCTTTGCATCGTCGATGTCCAAATTCCACAACAACATCACTATATACATGGAACACGAACTTGCAGACTCTTTTAACAACGAGGAAATAATTGCACTTTTTAATTCAAAGCCAGGACAGCTTGTTAATACCGGCGAGACCACCTGAAGGACGGCATGTTCGTGTTGTAATGTCGGCCGTCCAAAAGAAATTGCTTGAAAGCTTTACGGAGCGGCACTGTAACTGTCCAAGGTACTGTTGTATGATTTATATTATATCATATGCACTAATAAACAAGTCAAAAGAATGAATGAATTAAATAAATATGGATTCTTAAATGTCAGTATTGCTTTTACTTAAAAAATATCAATACGTTTTCACAAATGTTTTATAAAAATAAAATGAGCAATTTTTATCATTTCAGCTATAGGCAATTATATGATTCAATTATACATAAGTTATATGACATTTATGAGGCATGTAACATGTTTCTGTGTTTTTTTTTTTTTTTTTTTGTGGTGATCTTTAATATAGCTACGCAAATATTTTCTAAAACGTCTAGCAATAATTCGCCTACAGTTTGTTAGTTAATTATGAACACAAAAATAATTATAATAATAAAAATAAAATGATCAAAATAAAAAGATAATAGAGCATCATTTTGCTAAATATAATAGTGCTTTATATGCTTTAAATCCTGCGATATATTTTCATATTCGTTTTTTTTTCACTTGCTGCATTCGTTATTTAATGTTTGAATAGTAAAACAAATAACAGCCATCGCTTAATTGGTTTCATTTTACCATCAAAATGTAGTATATTTTATATCATTATCAACTTTTTATATAAAAACGCAGTGTAATTTAAATAATTGTTTAAAATGAAATAATTTAAGTGCTGTGTTTTTATTAGTGAAAGTGCCCGCTCACCTTTGACAAGGCCTGTCCAAAATAAAATTTAGCCAGAGCTGCGCAACATATGAATAAATAAGGGTGCACATGTACCTATATTTAGCACCCCTATTTGTGTTGGCATAACAGTGTTTAGTCACATGGTTGCTTTTGCTTTTATGAAAAAAATAAATAAATAGTTTCGGCTCTTATTTAACTTTAATTGAACAAAGGGAGCCGTTTACATTGCGTTACCAAGGCAACTACTGATGCGTTTTGTGTAATGTTTTAAAGAGCTTTGTCGCAGCACGACAGTGGAAAATGAAACCGTATCCGTGCTGTCTGGCCCGGTTTGGCACGGAATGGAACAGTTCTGTTTAAAGAACGATTCAGCACGATAGTGGAAAAGCGGCTAAACATTTAATAGGTTTTCCTTTCTGTTTTGAAAAATTTTAAGTTATTTGGTAAAGAAACTTTATGTGCCTGTGCTATCCAAGTATGCAGTATTTCACTGGTTCGGGACACCTCCAAGTGGGTGGAACTTATGGCGCAAGTAGGTTGGGAGACATGCAAGTGGGAGGAACTGAACCCACAAGCAGGCTGGAAGACCTCCAAGTGGGAGGGACCTACCCCACAAGTAGGCTGAAAGACCTCCAAGTGGGAGGGACTTAACCCAAAAGTAGGCTGGAAGACCTCGAATAGGGAGGGACTCACCCCACAAGTAGGCAGGAAGACCTCGAATAGGGAGGGACTTACCCCACAAGTAGGCTGGAAGATCTCCAATAGAGAGGGTCCTTAATCCACAAGTAGGCTGGAAGACTTCTAATAGGGAGGGACTTATCCCACAAGTAGGCTGGAAGACCTACAATAGGAAGAGACTTGCCCTACAAGTAGCCCGGAAGACCTCCAAGTGGGAGGACTTACCTCACAAGTAGGCTGGGAGACTTCCAGGTGGGAGGGACTTACACTGCCAGTAGAATGGGAGACCTCCAAGTGGGAGGGACTTACCCCACAAGTAGGCTGGGAGAACTACAAGTGTTAGGGACTAACACCACAAGATAGGCTGGGAGACCTCCAAGTGGGAGGAACTTACCTCACAAGTAGGCTGGAAAAATCTCCAATAGGGAGGTACTAGCCTCACAAGTAGGCTGGAATACCTCCAAGTGGCAGGTACTTACCTCACAAGTAGGCTGTAAGACCTTAAATAGGGAGGGACTTACCCACAAGTAGGTTTGGAGACCTCCATGTGGTAGGGACTTACACCGCAAATAGGATGGCAGACGTCCAAGTGGGAGGGACTTGCCTCACAAGTAGGCTGGGAGACCTTCAAGTGGGAGGTACTTACCTCACAAGTAGGCTGTAAGACCTTCAATAGGGAGGGACTTACTCCACAAGTAAGCTGGGAGAACTCCAGGTGGGAGAGACCTACACTGCAAGGTAGGATGGGAGACCTCCAAGTAGGAACGACTTACCCGACAAGTAGGCTGGGAGACCTCCTAGTGGGAGTGACTCACCTAACAAGTAGGCTGTTAGACCTCCATGTGGGAGGGACTTAAACTGCAATTAGGCTGGGAGACCTCTAAGTTGGAGAGGCTTACCTTACAATTAGGCTGGGAGACGTCCAAGTGGGATGGGCTTATGCCACAAGTAGGCTGTGAGACCTCCAAGTTGGAGGGACTTACCCCATTAGTAGGCTGAGAGAACTCTATGTGGGAGGGACTTACCTCACAAGTAAGCTGGGAGTCTTTAAAGTGGGAGGGACCTACTTTGCAAGTAGGCTGTGGGACCTCCAATTGGGAGGGACTTACACTGCAAGTAGGCTGGGAGACCTCCAAGTGGAAGGGACTTACCTCACAAGTGGGCTGGGAGACCTCCAAGTGGGAGAGATTTACCCCACAAGTAGGCTTGGAGACCTCCAAGTGGGAGGGGCTTATGCCACAAGTAGGGTGTGGGACCTCCAATTGGGAGGGACTTAACCCACAAGTAGGCTGAGAGAACTCGAAGTGGGAGGGATTTTTATCCCACATGTAAGCTGTGATACCTCAAAGTGGGAGGGATTTAACCTACAAGTAATCTAAGTGTAAGGGACTTGTCCCATAAGTAAATTGGGATACCTCTAATTGGGAGGGACTTACCTAACAAGTAGGCTAGGAGACCTCGAATTAGGAGGGACTTACCCCACAACTAGGCTGTGATACTTTGAAGTGGCAGAGATTTAACCCACAGGTAGGCTGGGAGGCCTCCAATTGCAATGGAGTTATCCCGCAAGAAGACTGGAAGACCTCCAAATGGCAGGGAATTACCCCGCAACTTGGCTGTGATACCTCGAAGTGGGAGGAATTTAACCTACAAGTAATCTTAGAGAGCTCCAAGTGGAAGGGACTTGTCCCATAAGTAAGTTGGGAGACCTCCAATTGGGAGGGACTTACCTCACAAGTAGGCTAGGAGACCTCGAATTGGGAGGGACTTAAGCCACAAGTAGAGTGTGATACTTTGAGGTGGCATAGATTTAACCCACTGGTAGGCTAGGAGGCCTCCAATTGGAAGGGACTTATCCCGCAAGTAGACTGGAAGACCTCCAAATGGCAGGGAATTACCCCGCAACTAGGCTGTGATACCTCGAAGGGGGAGGAATTTAACCTACAAGTAATCTTAGAGAGCTCCAAGTGGACGGGACTTGTCCCATAAGTAAGTTGGGAGACCTCCAATTGGGAGGGACTTACCTCACAAGTAGGCTAGGAGACCTCGAATTGGGAGGGACTTAAGCCACAAGTAGACTGTGATACTTTGAGGTGGCATAGATTTAACCCACTGGTAGGCTAGGAGGCCTCCAATTGGAAGGGACTTATCCCGCAGATAGACTGGAAGACCTCCAAATGGCAGGGAATTACCCCGCAACTAGGCTGTGATACCTCGAAGTGGGAGGAATTTAACCCACAAGTTTGCCCAAACTTATAAAGATTTCAGCTTTTAGTTGATTACTTTGTGCTCACAGTTTCCTCTTGTTTCTTGTCATGTTGTGGTTTTCAATGGTCATGTGCGTTTTTGGGTTATCTTTTTCATTTATTTTGTAATTGGGATTTGATTTTATTGGTTTAACAAAGTTAAATTGCAATAAGGATCTTTATCTTTTTTTCTGCTGCTACTATAAAAAGTCTAAGAACATTATTTCAATTAAGACCACAGTAAACTGAATTTTGGAGTAAAAACTATTTGATAAACAGTAATCTGATTTTTGTGAAATAAAATCTTCAAAGAGATCTATCTCGAGTTTTATCTGTTATTGTATATTTTTTTCTGGTAATCAAGTAAATTCACACCATAAACAACCTAAGATCTAACAGTAAGATGTTTTTTGTTATATTTAAAATCTGTTTCTCCATGGAGAAAATGTCAATAATCTTTCCACTTCCAGAACAGACTTTTTTTTTTTAAAAAGCGAGAGGTGTTCCTTACTGATACTCATTTTCCAGTATCTTATGTTGCTCTGCCAAATCCTTAAGCTCTTGGGTCAGTTTGAGAATGGTCTCCTCCTTCTCTTGCACTTCCTCACTGAACAGAGCTTCATTTTCCTTTTGGAGTCTCTCATTCTCCTTCTCCAGCTTTGCGTTCTGGCTTTTGTACTCGTTCTTGAAGTTGATGAGCTCTCTGTGGTTTGAGGCCAGGTCCATGAACCTCTGCTCCAGCAGTTCAGATTTTTTCCTCTCATTCTCCAGCTCCACCTGCACATTGGCTCTCAGGTTCTCTAGCTCGGCGTTGATCTTCTCCAGAGCCTGACAGCGCAGGAGCATCTCGTCCGCTCGCCTTTTCAGGATGCAGATGAGAGTAGACTGCTCATCGATTCTCGAGCGCAGCACTTCTGCTTCTGTACGCTCTTCCTGCGAAAGACTTCTGAGTTTTTCCAGGGCCTGGTGCACATCATCCATATCCTTTTTGGAAAGAGGACCGAAGATTAAAGTCCAAGATTATTTGGCTAGCCAACATTGTTGGTCTTTAGGTGACCAATTAATAAATTAATTAAATTAATAATTAAGTTAAAGTCCGTATATACTGGAAGCTGCAACTGTTTTTTATTTATTTATTTTTTCATATTGTGATACAGATTCTAGTGAAATGGAATAATAAATAAAAAAGTGGGCGTGGCTTCTGATTTTACTGCGAGCTGATTGGATGTAGTAAACTTGGTATTTCATTCAGAAAGATCAGAAAGGGGTTCGGAGAGAAATATTGCAAATTAACAGACTCCTCACCATTTCTGTTTGTTGTCATAGAGCTGTCAAAACTGACAGTTGGAGAGGAGTGGCTAAGTATGTTAACCACGCCCAATACCTCAAACAGATGTAATCTGACAATTTAACTGAAAACAAACAGGAAGTACATTTTCAGAATTCAATTAAAAAGTACAAGGGCATAACTTTTTTATTAACTTAACGACATGCACAGATGAATTGTTTACCACAAAACTAGCAATGTAAGCTAACAAAATTATTATGTTAGATTTGATTTCATGTGTACTTTAAACTAGGGTTGGGTAATGTCGACCAATTTAGCATCACACAATGTCTGATGTGAAACATCGCGATGGACAATGGCATCATCGTGAATTAATTATTTATGAATAAGTAATTTGTTTATAATTAATTAATTATTTGTAGCCTACCATTTCAACTACCTGACCCGCATGGTCTTTGTTTTACCCATAACCAAATCATAAATAAATAAAGATAAGTTAAACACGAATGACCACCTGTCAATTACATTTTCCGCAGGACTGTGTGGTTATAAAGAAATTGACAAACTTGGTTGGTAAAGAAAGGTGCACAACCAACAGGAACCAACCAACAGTATCTGAGGTTTTCGCTAAAATTACTAAGTAAAAGCAAAGAGCATAGAATCACTAAGAGGCGACACTCTAGTGCGATTTGGGAAACAGCCACTAGATGGCGCGGTGGCCATTTTGGAATGAAAATTACAATAGAACAACAGCATATTATAAGTCTATAAAATAAACTATTAAAAGTGCTGATGATTGTGATAATAAGTGTTGTATTGTCGTCTTTCAGATTGTATCTCAGCTTCAATTCGCTTTTTAAATAAATAAATAAAAAACAAAGCAACTGCTTGGCATCACAACAGCAATAAGATCCAATGGACAGCCGATCGTTTTTTATTTCAAAATGGCGGAATCCGGGGCTGTTGCTGGGCGCTGCTGTTGCAATGGAACGTTCTATTGAGTGTCACCTCTTGATCATTCTAAGCTCTTTGGTACAAGTGTGAAAGATTGAAGCACTGTACTGACGCTGTGACATGTTACCTGATGGACTCAAAAGAAAGAAGAGTCGTTAGAGACAATTTAATTTAATATTATTAAGATTAATTAAATATTACCTATAACAACTATAGTGAGACACTATTCAGCGGTACATCCTTAGTAAACTGTTCAATGCAGTGTGGGTGTGGATCGTTTTCGTCCTAAAATGCCATTTTAAAACTAAGACGTATTAGTGTAAACGGGGCCTAAGTGGGTATTTTTCGCGAGCGGGTTGTTGCTGTGATGGGGTGGAGGATCGTGATGCATCGTTATGTCTATCGGCCGTTAAAAAATAAAAACTGTTTTGATTTCAGTCGAAATAAAACAAATAAGACTTTCTCCAGAAGAAAAAATATTATCAGACTGTGAAAATGTTCTTGCTCTGTTAAACATCATTTGGGAAATATTTAAAACAGGAAAAAAAAATCAAAAGGGGGCTAATAATTCTGACTTCAATTGCATGTATGTGTGTGTGTGTTTGTGTGTGTGTGTGTGTGTGATATGTATGCGTGTATAACTGACTTTTATCATTTATCTAATGCACAAAACTAAAAAGTTAAAGAAGCAAAAATAAAATATTATTTTGGCTTTATTTTATTAATTTCATTTTATTGCTGAATTTTCACATTCTATTCATTTGATAGAGTCTATATCTTTTTTATTTGTATATTTATTTTTGGAGGCATTTTTGGCTAAATCTGCATTTTTGTTTTGCATGTTGTATTTATTTATTTATTTATTTGTTTGTTTAATTAACATGTATCATTTAGTGTGAAGCACTGTGTAATGTTATGACAAAATAAATAAATAAACAAACAAATACTAATAAAAATCGATGTGTGTTATATAAATCGTGTTATTTATTAATTTAATTCATTTCGGGTGAAAATATGGTTGAAATTGGAAATGTTCCAAGAATTTTGATAAACATACCCATAAAGGTCCGTGTACGTTTTGTTCATTTGTTTTCCATTTTCAAACGGAATAAAGGAAATGGAGAAAACTGCCGTTTTTTCGTTTTTCTTTTGCTCACGAGAAAACGAAAAAACGAGATTTTGGCTGGATTTTCGTTTTTTGGTTTAGGGTAGGAAAACGGATAAACGACTTTAAAATTCATTTTACACATGTAGGCGGTGCTGAAACGCCCACTTTCCTCTAATTGGTTAACCAAATCTGCGCTCGTGATGTCACCCTCAAAATAAAAGCCTTACACGCAGGCTTTTAATTATTATTATTTAATTATATATATAAACAAAGTTTACATATTCTATCATTTGAACCACACACAGTTAGCAGGCTTACATTCATTGCGTATGTATAAATTAAATAAAAACGTAAATCAGCAGTATTCTTAGACATTTGTCATTAAAATAAGGTCATAGTTCACTAAGCTTCTTGCTGCTGTGCACCTGATGCTGAGCAAAGAAAGCCATTTCCGAGCAGCACCTGGTTTACATGATTGTTTCAGAGCTATTGTAGGCCTAAATAATAGCCTACTCTGTATAAAATAATAATTTATTATTATTATTATTAGGCCTATTATTATTAGTATTGTTATTATTATTATTTACTTAGTTATTCAATGGTTGTAAGAACACATTGGGCCCTGCATGGGGCTATAATAAATGGTACCATTTGTTTCTATTGGATTTTCTCCTATTTTAATTTAATATATGCCTTTAGCCTATTGTAAATATTTATTTGATAATTAATACTTTTTTATTGCAACGTCAAAGTAGGCCTGTCTTATTATTATTATTTTTTGTTATTATTTTGTCGTTGTTGTTGTTATTATTATTGTAGCAGGGACATAGCCACAGGTGTGGCAGAGTGTGCTGGTGCCACCCAAAGTGGCATCTTGCACCTGAAAATAGATGCCTTCGCGCTCAAGCGCGCGCAAAAAACTTGCACAGGCAAAAGTAATGATGAATGTGTTGAAGGAAAAAAAAACATTCTAATTATTTGTTAATAAAATAGTGCAACATTATTCTCAGTCAGTGTAGGCTGAAAAAATTAAGATCGCCAGCATTTCAAGGGTGGTTTTATTTTTAGTTCATTGCTGTGACGCGCTATATTTCACTAAGGCTGCATGAGACTGCGCATCTTGCTTATTTTCTCTATTTTACATACATGAACATATCAAACAGTCCAGGTTCTACCATTCTAGTGAGTGTGGGGCATTGCTTTACAGTGGTAAAGTGGATTATTTCTTGGCAAATTCATAATGATTCACTTTGTTTAGTAATAAATTTCATAGTTATAAAATAACTACATTTCAAGAATATGTTAACACTTTCAACTATTTAGGATTATTTATTGCATCAAAAGTAATTTCAAAGTAACATTAAATGTACGTATAAACTGCTTAATTTGTGTGTGTAAACACCTAAGATGCAAAAAGCTTATTTAGACCAGAATAGGCCTACTAAATGCAACGGTCAATGTATGCAAACTTATGACCTAAAATGTCTTAAATGACTAAATTTAAGTCTTTTTAAGTTTTTAAATAATTTAAGTTTAACATAAATGATTTAAACTTTAAACTTCAAATTAACAGAGTATGGCAAATAAATTGTTTATTAAATGGAGGTCAGGTGTCTATCTTAATTATAATTATTAAATATTATGACACTATAATTCAGTGGTGTATTAGAGAGTAAGCACCTTTTAATTAATTAATTTTAAATAAGTGGTTTATCCTAAATAAAATGCAATGGGATCGGTGTGCAATGAATAGTTTGAAAACCCCTGGTTCAGACTAGACGAGCTAGCTGTCTGTGCGCTGCGCTAATAACTTGGCATTTGCTCTTTTCGGTGCTGCCAGATGCATTTATAGTGCATAAAATAATAAAAAAGGTAATTCGGTAAAGCGCGCGATGCGCGCAGAAATAAGCGCACTATATGCATATGTCGAATTAAGTTCTCTTTTTCTTTAATCAAGACTTTTCCATTCGAGGAATTACAGTTATTAATAGCTTAGTCCTTATAAACGATCAGTTTATAAAATACACAATTTACGGATCAAGCCTAATGAAGAATAAGAAGAATATGCAACACATTATGATCCTTGAATGATCAGAGCGCATTTATATAAACTATATATTTTATATAATCCATAAATATTAAAAAAACATTATACATTTAAAGTAATGGAACATTATATGTTATAAAATCTAAACTATTATTTAGGCTACAGGCTAAATAAAGGCGCCTTTTCAGGGCTGTTCAGCGCGTGCGTCAAAGAAAAGACATGACACAATCTCTATAAAAACTTGTTGTTTATTTACAATATCTAAAGGGATATAAAACATCTAACATGCATCTCCATTCTCAACGAGTTTCTGTGTTCTGCATCCTTCACAGACCGAGTTCTCATTCCGAGGTAATCTGTAAATATTCTCATTTGGTTCTGGCACATTCTTGATTAAAGGTGAAACTGACCGGCGCAACGGATGATTTGTCATCTAGGGTGACTACAGTTATAATACAGGTTATGGAACTATTTCACTTTAATTTCATATTATTATTTTATTAAACAAACAAACCAGTTTTGTTTTGGCTCTGCATGCAGCATATTGGATCTTTGAAGCATTGCACTTCAAATGTTATTCCTTTTTTTTTTATTGTATTTTTAATATTTTTAATTATACAACACAAAATTGGTTCTAAACAGATACATTTTCCTATAGGCTATGATGAAGTGTATATTTTTGTTCACACAGGTCCTATACAAAACTGTGTGGATGGATGATTTGTTTCTCCGTGAAAATCACTCATTTAATAAGCAAAACAGGCCAAAATGTTGTTTAGCTTGCGTCAAACTGGATGGACAATTTACAAACATATTGAATACAAAGGCTGGTTATTTTATGCAATGAGGGACAATAGGCCTATTACAAATTAAAGAAAATTATTTGCATATTAAAACGAAAATATATAATACAACAACAGATCCTACCTCGTAAGAAATTACTTTAGATAATGTAAATAAGCATCAAGTTTTTTTTTGAGATTGTGTGTCTAATTCAGTAGTGTAGTGTGTTCGCGTGGGTTTCCTCCGGGTGCTCCGGTTTTCCCCACAGTCCAAAGCGGTACAGGTGAATTGGGTAGGCTAAATTGTCCGTACTGTATAAGTGTGTGTGTATGTGTGGATGTTTCCCAGAGGTGGGTTGTGGCTGGAAGGGCATCCGCGGGGTAAAAACTTGCTAAATAAGTTGGCGGTTCATTCCGCTGTGGCGACCCCAGATTAATAAAGGGACTAAGCCGACAAGAAAATGAATGAATAATGTGCAATACTAATTTAAAATACGTATCACTAACCTTATATGTGAAATAGCAGGGCCCGCTGTAGCACTTTCTCAAGAAGATCAATTGTCAAATTATTAGCGCAACGCACATGTAGCGAGCTTATCTGTTTATCGGAACTACTAGACACAATTTTTTTATCAACTATAATGTGTTTAATTAGTTAATTTGAAATTTATTTCATTATTCCAGCAATAATTGTTGAGTGAAAGAATGCGCTAGAAATATGCATTGCGGCTCCCTTTATTGTACAGGCTTATTGCACTTAAACTTTTTTTAGGTTCGGCTCTCGAATTAGTAAGGTTATGAGTAAATGTTATTTAAAATATTTAAAGCCTGCCATCTAGCCTACAATAACAGCAAATTTAATAATAAAAAAAATAATAAGACAGGCCTACTTTGGCGTTGCAATAAAATAGTATTAATTATCAAATAAATAATTACACTATAAATAGGAAGAAATACATGAAAACAAATGGTACCCTTTGTTTTTATAGCAGGGCCCAAAGTGTTCTTATTCTGGTTCTGCTAACAACTATTAAAAAGAAAAAAAACACACCAAACAATAAAAACACATGAACTGATAATAATAATAATAATAATAATAATAATAATAATAATAATAATAATAATTATTATTATTATTATTATTATTATTATTATTATTATTATAAAGCCCTTGCTCTGAAACAATCATGCAAACCAGGTGCTGCTCGGAAATGGCTATCTTTGCTCTGCATCAGGTGCACAGCAGCAAGAAGCTT